TTTGAATGTTTATTACATATAAACATGTTTGAATTGCAAATAATTTTATAAATTTTTACAAGTATAATTAAATTAATTAAAGACTTGACTTAGAAATTAACCAGATAAAATAATTTTTAAATGGACTTAAGTAAAAATGACATAAATATATTGAATTATCTTTCAAAATTTAATAGTTAAGATATATATATATATATATATATATACACTCTTAGAAATAATAATTACTTGAAAATTTTCACTTAATATTATTATTATGAATCTTTTTTATTTTAAATATTTCTTTTTAATTATATGTGACATGAATATTTTTTTAAAATAAATATATGAAATTAATATAAATTAAAAATATATACATTAATTTACGTAATTTCAGAGTTTAAAACTTCATGTTTCTTATGGACTTATTTTTAGAGTTTTAATAGTCAAAAAAAGTAAAAATATTTTTTTAAAAAGAATATATGTGACATGAATATAATTTAACGATAATACATGGATAAAAATTTTGTAAATTATTTTCTTAATAAATCTGGACTTTTGTTGAAATATATATTAGTTTATATCTAAAAGAATAAAAAAAATAACATAAGACAAGAAAACTGACCTATAAAAAATTAATAAAATGATGAATTTTGATGAAATTGAAGTATTTTTGGATTTTAAAACTTCATGTTTCTTATTAATTAGCTTGTTTTGAAGTCCCTTTAGAGTTTTAAGAGTCAAAATAAAGTACCAATATTGTATAGTTTAGAAGTGATTTGAGTAACCTGTTTTTTGTTATTTAGAGTTTGTGTAATGTACAAATAAATAATAATAAATAAATAACGGGATTAACCTATATTTTAGCATTCATTCTAGAAAATAGTCTTTTCCTTATGAATTAATAATTTTTTTTAAAGAATTTTACCTATATTGGTATTTTTCTTAACTAGAGATAGGGTTGTTTTTAATTATTAGTATTGATAGTATATTATAATGTTAGTATTATATTAAGAATATAATAGTCAATCAAAAAATTTTAATGAGTTGATGTTTTATATCTAATTCCTAACTTTATCTTTTGCTTTTTCCTTTTCTCCTTTCCCTCCATTTTCTTCGATTCCTTGCTTATTTGTTTTGCAATATTTTTCTTCTTTTGTCAAGATGTTCAATTTTTCAGCCCATGATAGTCACCCAAATTGGCTGTTTGTTATTGCGATATATGCCGTTGCCTTTAAGGTATCTGATACCACAAAAATATGCTGAGTTTATTCAGCAAAAAACCAATCTAGTTAATTAAGTATCTAGACAGTTCCTACTGCCACTAAAGACTTCAAGAGTACGTTTTCCTTGTTTCGCAAGGACATCCAATATTATTTGACCAAACGGAATTGCTTGTTTGTTTAACTTTTAAAGATTGTCAAAAAAATAAAATTAATTACTTTTATCCTTAATTATTGGCAACAAAATTAACTCATTTATCTAATTCAACTATCAATGATCAAACTTATCCGCCAATGGATCATGCCATATGTAATTCATAAGTTCAGTATTTTGATTTTAAGATAAAAATGGTGAAAAAAATTGAAGGGTGGGATTATCTTTGTACGAAATCCAAAATATCACATTTTTGAATGTTCTTTTTAAACCCACTGGGTTTAATGTGACAAAAATCGAAACTATATATATACCTCGGATGCCACTGAACTGATATGGGTAATTTCGGAGCCTTTTTCTTACCCCATTAATTCTCATCTTCTTCAGAAGCATATATATTCTATTTACTTTCTTAGGAATCACCATCTGGAATTGTTTGATAGAGAATAATTAAGAACATAGCAATTTGCGTATCTTGCTTTTAAGAAATTATATATTTTGTGGTCTTGGTGCATGTTATTTCCCCTTTTCCAAATTCATATAGAGATCCGTACATGAGGTTCCATCAATTGATGGGACAGAGAATCTATGCTTAAACTATTGATTTTATTTTATTTTTTTAGTAGTGTGTGCTCAACCCTAGCTACCATTAAACATTCTTCTCCATAATTGATAGTAGCTATCTACTCGTCACTGATTTTTCAGAGAATGCTGTCTGTTCAGCCTCCATCTCTTGTTCGACTTTGGTGAGAAAAATATTATACAAATCATTCTTGAAGTCTCACTTTTTCGGTTTGTGGGTTTTTTATATATGGGTTTAAAATAAGGTAAGGTATAAAATGTTGAATTGATTGTTTTAATTTTGACATCAGTTTAAGTTGACTAAAGGATAAAAAGTTCGAATTCTATCATTTTTATTTTTTTATAATTAAATTAAAATTTTCAAAAAGTTTTCTACAATGATTAAACACAAATATATCATTCCAAAAGTTTCCCAAACTCTTCGTTTCTGCTTCTGACAACGCATGAAACAAGAAAATGAGCATCGATCATTTGTTTTCCCTTGCATTATCTCTCTCATTCCATCCTATAATTAGAACGCATTCTTGGTTTTCCTTTGCTTGTGCTCCATTATTGGAGTGCCGTTCTAGCCATCTAGCTAGGTTAATTATTCTAGATTCCACAATTCTTCATACTAGCTATAACTAACTTCTTGGACTGACCATACTAGGGATTTCAGTGGTCACTTAACGATGACAAAAGATGTAGAGGACGAAACCAAGTTGAGAATGGAAAGATCTGTCTTATCGTAAGGGTTGAGACAAAAATATTTAATGAGAAAGCTTCTACATGCATCACCCATGCAAACTATTGCAAGAAGATTCAAAATAAAATAAAAAGATTTGCAATTCATGTAAAACAAACCAATCTTTTTCAAGTACAAAAAGGACCTCGTATGTATGTCAATATTACATATATTTTTAGGTGACTTACATGTAAAAGTCGAAGAGTTTTACACATATCTATAGAACACGTCAAATATATTACAATTAATAATAGAAAATGTTGGAGGTGATTAACTCTTAAACATATGGGGAAACTTCCTCGTATTTTGTTCGTGAATTCCAATTAATGATAGACTCTAAAATTTATCGTCCGCTTCTCTCTAATTAATCAGATCTATTGACTGCTTCAAAATTCAAACTGATTAGTATATTAGTTTGTTAGAAAGAAAAAACACATATTTTTTTTAAATACTATAAATAAATTCAAATTAATTAAAATTAATATATATTTATATCATCACATTATGTTTCATGTAAAATTTTCTCTTTTTATCGATATTCAATAATTGATAAGATAATAAAATTATTGCAGATATGCATACACACAATACCATAAATTTAACTCTTTGTAAACATTTAAAAGTTACTTTGATATATGTAACTTTTTTATTGAAGTCTTGTATTCTTTTTCATATTCATTGAATCGATTTATTATTTTATTTTATTTTATTATTGTCCCTTCGTTATAATGTCATTAGTTTGTGAGCTAATGTTATTTTTCTGAATAAGTGGCATGTGTCATATGTGAGTCTTCAATTAGAAAAACTAATTACTACCAAAAAAAAAAATGAGACTTCAATCAAATTATTCAAAGAGTGTACTAACCATATTATATTATTATTATTATTTTCATTTTTACTTTCCATATTATTTTTATAAAAACAAAATCTCATCCTAAATGCATGAAACATGTCACATAGGAGACCCTACCATAATAAAATTGTAAACAATTTTTTTATTAAAAAAAATAGTATAATAATTTAAAACTAAAAATGCATAAAAAAGAACCTAACAAGAAATTAAAAAAGATAAAAAATAGAGTACATATATGCTCGTCAAAATTAAAATGAAAACAATAATAATATTGACTAATAGCTAATTGTTTATATTAAAGAACAAAATGTGGTGTAATTCCTAGTTTTATTGAGAAAGCAACTCCATTTTTTAATTTGAATTTGTCAAAATATTTAAAATTTTTATTTTTTATAGAGAATTAGACCCAATAACTAAGAGTCTAATCGATATTGCATACCAGTATATATATATATATATATATATATATATATTTGTTATTTGCAAGTTAGATTCATTTTTCTTTTCTTTTCTTTATAAATTATTTTCTATTTTTAACTTATTTAACATTTTTTTAACAAAAAAAACTCTTCACGGTTTTATTGTGATGAAATCTTATGTATAATACATTTTGTGCATTCAGAATAAGGTTTTAAAAAATAATAATATGGAAGTAAAAAATAAAAAATGATAATAATTTTGTCTGTGTACTTTTCGAATTAATTTTATTGAAATTTTATTTTCTTTTTTGTATTGATAGAGTCCATCCAATAGAGTCCCACATATGACAAGTATTGTGCAGTCGAGAGGATCACATACCACGTCATTTCACAAACTAACAAAAAAAATATATATATATATATATATATATATGTGAGATTTCAGTCAAGCAAATTCAAAGGATACAGAACCGAATATGGGCAAAACTCAACGAAAAAAGGAAAGGAACTTCTGTGTAGGATGGGCGAATAACATAAGAATAAGGATGTTTGTGTAATATGATCGTGAAAGAATATGAGACAGAAACCGAAGCATCCCAACCCAAGTTGCTAAATTTAATCATTCTCAGAAATATAGAAAGTGAAAATAAAGATAAAAATAAAACAATTTCTTGGCCTTTTTAAGTGGCATGCCTTCTTCACGTCCAACTCGGTTTCGAAGCACAAGAAGCCCTGGAAACCAAATCTCTCTCTCTCTATCTCTCTCAAGAACTTTCCTGCTGCAATAAATAAACCATCAACCTTCGAAAACCAATTTCTACACTAATTATATTATTGTTTTCTGTTCTTTTACATGTCTTTTACAGAAGCTCCTTTAAAGTATATACAGGGTGGTTCAACTCCAACCAAGAATTTAAATTTTCATATATATGTATAATTTAAGCTCATCACTTCTGTTTGTAGCCTGTTTTGAGGACTTTCTCCAGTACCTAATACTCTCTTAAGTGCTGTTATTTATCTCTAGAAGCCCAAGTGACATACTGAAAGAGAGCTCCAAAGTCGAGATATGGCTGGAAATGAATGGATAAACGGATACTTGGAGGCTATTTTAGATGTGGGAAGTGGTAATATGAAGAAACGAAATGATGGGAAGTTTAAGATTGCTAAGTTTGATCAGATGAAGGAAGACAAGTTGTTTAGTCCCATTAAGTACTTTGTCGAAGAAGTTACTAACAGCTTTGATGAGTCTGATCTCCACAAGACATGGGTAAAGGTTAGCTCTCAATCTCTAACTCTGAGTAAATTATAAATTAATCCCTCTAGTTTTATAAAAAAAATTAAATAGTTTCTCTTCTTTCAAAAACTAATTAATTAGTTTTTTTGTTGGTATGGATTATGATTAATTTAATATTATTTAAAAAATATTTTTTTCGTCAATTTTTTCATATTTTCACATTTATTAAAAAAAATTGAAAAAGAATGAAAAGGATTAAGTTATAATAGATTTACAAAAATAGGGACTTTATTTTTTTAAACTAGAGGGAGTAATTTATAATTTACTGCTCTAACTCTCTGTCCCTCCTGCCATGTTTTTTATTATTATTATTTTTTCTTTTCCTTCCATTTTTTTCTCTTTTCTTTTTCAATTAGATTGTGAACGTATAGTATAGAAGAAAGCATACTTATGCCTGATTTCTAATATGCTCAGAAATAAGGAGCGACTGTTATGCATATGAATCTTTTTGTGCTCCTTTCGCAAATTCTCCATTCCATTCTGCAGAGAGCGTTTTAGAATTTGTTTAAAAAAAAAAAAAAAGGAGGAATGCACATGGCACCAAAAACAAATATATATTTTTTTTAATATACATTAAGTTTATGAGAGTTTTTGCATGATGCTGGATAGTTTCTTTTGGTGGGTCCATGACAGAATTAAGTCCCTTGGATAGGGCCCACACTTACAGTTACCTTCGTTTTCTTATTTTATTTTATTTTTCCTTCAAAGAAGTTTCATATTCAACCGAATGATAACAATGTTGGTTCAGGCTCATTGCCATCTTTTTCTTAAGTTAATTCTCAGTTGTAGACCAAAATGTAGAAGGAAAGACATGGTATGTTGTTATATAATCGGCTAAGTATTTAATTTATTTTTATATTTTAAAATAAATCAATTATATTTTTATATTTTAAGTGAGATTTTGTTATGTTTTTATGATGTAAAATTTCAGTCAAACCATCGAAAAAATTACATAATTTGCATATAATTATTTTGTTTTTCAAAAATACTAGTAAAAATAAAGTCATGTAATTTACACGCATTTTGCTGAGGTTTAATTTAAAAATTAATAATAATCATGTGTAAGTCGCTTGACTTTTTTGCAATAGTTTGGCTGAAAAAATTAAAATATATATATATTGTAAACTTATTTAAAATATAGAAATATAATTTACTTATTTTAAAATATAAAAAAATATTGAATCCCGACCCCCTTTTCGAACAAAATACTACGCCATTACCCTTCAAATTTAAAATTCATATATTGGTATATGTTCTCTAATTAATTAATTAGCATCACTAGTTTTTGGATACTTGTTGTGTAATTAATGGAAAGTATGCAAGCATGGAAGTAACTTGTGAATGACGGTGAAAGTGAATGAATAAATGTGAGCATGCAGATGATAGCGACCAGGAACACTCGTGAACGAAGTAACAGGCTTGAGAATATGTGCTGGCGCATTTGGCATCTCGCCCGTAAAAAGAAACAGGTCTGCCCCCTCCCTCTATTCTACACTTTAATTCCTCTCCTTTTTTTTTTTTTTTTTTTGGCGTCTTTAAGAAAAAAAAAAATTCCTAATAGCTTTTATGTATTAGGCTTCTAGCTTTCCTTTTCCCTCGTCCCACCACCACAAGTCCATAACCAACATTCACTCTATAGTCTCCAATGACTATCAGGCCACCCCATGGAAATTTCAGGCTTGAAACAGCCGGTGCAAAATATAGACATGGCTTATTAAAAACAATCCAAATGGGGAATTACTGTAATTTATTCGATTATCCTGCATCATTTACTGGGTAAATTATATAGCATGAGGGGTATTTACACAACTGAATGCACCAAATAGTATAATAATAATATAGGAATTAATAGCTTGGTCATACATAGACCAAGGAACAGGAGTGCTATATTAAATATATTTTATCTGAAAGAAATATTGGTTATAAAAATTGCAATTCACATTTTTTCCTTCAATTTTTGGGACAGTTGCTCAATAGAAATTTAATTTAATGGTAAAAATGTTGGGTTTGCATCTGTCAGAGCGAATGCTCTGAGGTTCAAGTCTTAAGGTCCCCCCAGAAATATTGAAAGGTAGAAACTATGACATGACGACTTTCAGATTTCTCCCCACTGGGAACAGTACTAGGGGCGATTTGATAATGGCTTTTTTCTTTCTTAAAAGGAAATGAAGGATTATATATTTGCAGATAGCATGGGATGATGCACAAAGGCTTGCAAGAAGGCGGCTAGAGCGTGAGCAGGGGCGTAATGATGCTGCTGATGATCTTTCTGAGCTATCTGAGGGTGAGAAGGAAAAGGGTGAGCCCAACCAATCAGAACCTGTCAAGGATATTGCAAGAATTAACTCTGACATGAAATTATGGTCTGAAGACGATAAACCTAGGCAGCTGTACATTGTGCTAATCAGGTATTTCCTATGCTCATCACAGCTAACCTACCATAGTTTCAAGTGCACTAGCTAGAGATGGAGTAGAAAGTGAGAAAAGTCGGATGTCTTCCAAAAAAGCAAGACAATTAAAAGATGCATTGAAATTCACTCCCTGATGATAAATATGAAGATTACCTTGTTGACTTTATAGTATCTGCATTTTGCCTGTAGTATGCATGGGTTGGTGCGTGGAGAAAACATGGAACTGGGAAGAGACTCTGATACTGGTGGTCAGGTAGTTGCGTCATCCATAGCCAGTCCGCTTAGAACCATAATCAAGAATTTTACAGTGCAAAGCTTTACCAAATTGATCTTTATACTTCACCACTCATGACTCCAAATATTATTATGATTACAGGTAAAATATGTTGTTGAACTAGCTCGTGCTCTAGCCAACACAAAAGGAGTCTATCGTGTGGATCTCTTAACTAGACAAATCACTTCCCCAGAGGTGGACTCCAGTTATGGGGAGCCAATTGAAATGCTATCATGCCCATCATATGACAGTGGTAGTTGTGGAGCCTATATAATCCGGATCCCTTGTGGTCCTCAAGACAGGTAGTTAGATTTACCTTCGTTTGTTGACGATTCAAATGTTGGTAACAAAGAAAGATGTATGATTACAAGATATATGTAACAGGTACGTACCAAAAGAATCACTTTGGCCTTGGATACCTGAATTTGTTGACGGGGCATTAAACCATATTGTCAACATGGCAAGAGCGCTAGGAGAAGTCAATGAAGGAAAGCCAACTTGGCCTTATGTGATTCATGGCCACTACGCTGATGCTGGCGAAGTGGCAGCACACTTGTCTGGTGCCTTGAATGTGCCAATGGTTTTAACAGGGCACTCACTGGGAAGAAACAAGTTTGAGCAACTGCTCAAACAAGGAAGGCATTCTAAGGAGCACATAAATGCAACCTACAAGATAATGAGGAGGATTGAAGCTGAAGAGTTGGGATTAGATGCTGCTGAAATGGTGGTGACTAGCACAAGGCAAGAGATTGAAGAGCAATGGGGTTTGTATGATGGATTTGATATCAAATTGGAGAGAAAGCTTAGGGTCAGAAGACGCCGTGGAGTGAGTTGCCTGGGAAGATACATGCCAAGGATGGTGGTATTGACCCTCTCTTATTCTTTGTCTTCACCTCTTATGTGCCCAAACAGAAGAGCAATATTCAAACGTCTTGAATTCCTGATGAAATCTTCAGTTCTAGAAAGTAACTCGCAAGACAGGAAGTTATGCTAAATTACGTACACATCTAGTTCCTTTCACTCGCTCACTTCAACATGAAATCACAGGATAATCTCCAAGCAAACCCTTCCACAGTACTGTCAATAAGACTCCAAGTCTCCGATTTGATACTAATCTTATGCCAAATGCCAGCATAAATCAGTAATTTGTGAAGTCCCCTCCAGCCATGTTAATACCATCCTCAATCAAAGTAACCAGAATACTTGTCCAGATGGTTCTAGCATATGATGAAGATAACTAATGATAGCAAGATTCATTCACTTTTGCAGTCCATTGAAATGAAGTTCAAGCTCATATTCTAATCCCTACGTGGCATCAGGTTATACCTCCAGGGATGGACTTCAGCCATGTCACAGCACAAGATTCATTGGAAGGTGATCTCAAGTCATTAATTGACTCTGATAGAACTCAAAACAAAAGGAACCTGCCTCCAATATGGTCTGAGGTCAGTCACTCTCTCTTTATCATACTTGGATATTCTTGTCACACTTTTAAGCATTAACTTGGAATGTCTAGATGTCACCTACAACAGATTGATTCCTATGATTTCTGCAACAATTTCTTAAAAAAGAGGCAAAAAACAAAAAAAAACAAAAAAACAAAAGTTGAAGCCACTGCACAAGTCTTTATGGCCAACGATTATAGCCTTTCAATTGATTGCTAAAGGAAACTATCTGAAGAACACACACGTCTTCTTACATTGACTGAGAAATAATCCACCAACAGCTACATTTTCTTCCAATGGTCTAATTGAATTTGCAATGCAGATAATGCGGTTTTTCACCAATCCTCATAAGCCCATTATACTGGCATTGTCCCGACCTGACCCCAAGAAAAACGTCACCACATTGCTCAAGGCTTTTGGGGAGTGCCAGCCTCTCAGAGAACTAGCCAACTTGGTAAATTGTGTGTTTCGCCTCAGCTCTCTATCAAGAAGATTAGATAAAACCATAACACTAAGCCAATTTGTTTTAAATTCCATCCTTTTGCAGACACTAATACTTGGTAATAGGGATGACATTGGAGAAATGTCTGATAGCAGCTCAAGTGTTCTTACAAACGTACTCAAGCTCATCGACAAGTACAATTTGTATGGTCAAGTTGCTTATCCAAAGCATCACAAGCAATCTGAAGTTCCAGACATTTATCGTCTGGCAGCAAAAACAAAGGTATAACACTTCATTTCCTCAAGCTTAAGAAGAACTACAAGATTTATCCCAATTCTTCTAAGTACTGATTAGCAATGGGCCTGGTTTCTCTGTCAAAAAAAATAATAATAATAATAATTAAGAAATAGAATCGGCCTAGATGGATGACAGAGGGCAACAACAATTCATGGTAGATAACGTGTATCATGAATTCATGCTATGTCTTCTCCATTTTCTATGTTTCCTGCCAGAGAACCTATCACCATGTAGATTGGGCCACTCGTTATATCTACGCAGTCCATATACCGTTAGCATTACCCTACCTTATTGCCTGATAGTTGTCCTCACCTTAACACCTTTGCTTTCTCCTTGCAACATTTGAACTGCTAACAGTAATAATTATGTGGCGGCTTTGTCTCTTGAAGGGAGTTTTCATCAATCCGGCTCTTGTGGAACCATTTGGTCTCACGGTCATAGAGGTAACTTTCATGTCTTACTAGTTCAAATTGGCTAATCCATCCGATTAAACTTGGTGATTGTTATATCACCATAAAGAGCATAAGGAAATTTGCACCTCGTTTAATAAATAACCATGGCCTCAGATTCCAGTTAACCATTTATCTTGCAGGCAGCTGCTTATGGTTTACCTGTTGTTGCTACCAAAAATGGTGGACCAGTGGATATTTTGAAGGTAACAATATCTCATATTTCTCACACTAAAATGAAGCTGTGCCTGCTTTTTTTCTCCCCAGAAACTATCACTGAGACTTCTACAAAGTATGTCTTTTTGAGAATCATGCACAATTGACCAATATCCAACTCTAAAACTGGGAAAACACATGGCTTCCTTAGGCAGCTGAGATCAGAAGTTTTGATGCTTCATCAGCCTTTCATCTTTACAAAAGCATCCCCACAGGATTCTGATAAAACCTACTTTTGGTGATCTAACAAAAAGCAGTTCAAACTTTCAACAAACCTCCAACTTTGTTTTGGTCAACCTACCAGCAAAGATCTTCATTCTGTTCATTCCTTTTCCAGGTGCAAAATATCAAAAAATGCCACTTTAAGAACACAATTTGTCACTAATATGCATCTTCCAAGACTGCACAAGTCTATTCCAGTTTGGTTAATTCACACGGAACCCTTTGTCTTTAAAATTTAGGATGCTACAACTTGAAAATTATGTGTAAAAGAAACTAACCAACTGAAGAATCTTTCCATAGGTACTTAACAATGGCCTTCTAGTCGATCCTCATGATCAAAAAGCCATTGCAGACGCCCTTCTAAAGCTTGTTTCTGGCAAGAACCTCTGGACTGAATGCCGAAAGAATGGCCTAAAAAACATCCACAGCTTTTCATGGCCAGAACACTGCCGTAACTACCTCTCCCACATTGAACACTGCAGAAACCGCCACCCAACAAGCTGCCTTGAGATCACACCAATCCCTGAAGAACCGATGAGTGAATCTCTAAAGGACGTGGAAGACCTATCTTTAAGATTCTCAATAGAGGGAGACTACAAGCTTAATGGAGAGCTAGATGCAATAAACAAACAGAAGAAACTTATTGAAGCCATTACCCAAATGGCTTCTTCCAATGGCAATGCAAGTGTCACTTACAGCCCTGGCAGAAGGCAGATGCTATTTGTGATAGCCACTGATTGCTATAGCTTTAATGGACAGTTAACAGAGACCTTTCAAGAAATTATCAAGAATGTGATGAAAGCTGGAGGCCAAAGCCTAGGATTGGGCAGGATAGGCTTTGTACTGGCCACTAGCTCAAGTTTACAAGAAATTATGGAAGCATTAAGATGTTGCCAAGTAAATATAGAAGATTTTGATGCAATAATATGTAATAGCGGAGGCGAAATGTATTACCCATGGAGGGATATGGTGGTTGATGTGAACTATGAAGCTCACGTGGATTACAGGTGGCCTGGTGAGAATGTGAGGTCAATGGTGATGACGTTAGCAAGAGCAGAAGATGGGGCTGAAGATGACATCTCGGAATACATTAAGGCATCTGGTTCTAGGTGCTACTCATACAGCATCAAACCAGGAGCCAAGGTGAGATACTTGCACTGATATACAAAACTGCCTACATCTCTACCTAACAATTACTTATCAGAATTCCAATGAATAAATTGCAGACAAGAAAGGTATATGACCTCCGCCAGAGGCTCCGAATGAGAGGGTTACGATGCAACATCGTCCATACACATGCAGCATCAAGGTTGAATGTGACCCCACTATTTGCATCAAGAACACAAGCCCTAAGGTTGGACTCATGCTTTTACAAAATTTTATATACATGGAAGAATTCGTTATAGCTTATCCATGTGTTCTAAAATGAAAATCAAAAGGCTTACACTTGATGATTTCATGCTCAATGCAGGTATCTTTCAGTTAGGTGGGGTATTGATCTTTCTAAAATGGTTGTATTTGTGGGTGGAAGAGGGGATACAGATTATGAAGACCTACTGGCTGGCCTCCACAAGACTATTGTTATAAGAGGCTCAGTGGAGTACGGCAGCGAGAAACTTCTTCATAGTGAAGAGAGTTTTAAAAGAGAAGATGTAGTCCCCCAAGAAAGCTCTAAAATCAGTTTTGTGGAAGAAAATTATGAAGCTCGTGATATCTCAGCAGCTCTAGCAGCTATGGGGATTAAGTGATATTTAACTTTGCTCTATTTCTCTTTTACTTTTCCTAATAGTGATTGTGCATATAATTTATGGGCGACAAAAAAGCAAGGATATGTCACTATAGCTTAGAAGAGTGTACATCTCTTCCAAGGTTACAGTTGCACAATAAACTCATAAGAAATCACTATCAGTGCATATGACAATACCTTTCATCTGATTTCTGAATATCATATAAAGAGCATTCATATGCTATTTAAATGCAAATGTATGTGCTCTCATATGTACACTTGATAAGCCACTTTTGTGCGAGCATTCTCTTAACCAGCAATATCGACAGCATCAGATGATATCCTCTTGTTCAAGATTGTTCACAAAAAGATACCAGTGAGATTACTCTACCTCACTATATACAACCAGCTACACCCACATTAGTGCATGTTTACAGATAAACTATTAGTTTTATGATACTAGTTTCTTGTTAAAGTGCAGAGTTACCTGCACATAGCGCCAGTCCATGACTGATATCCTTAGCCTTCATGCTTATCCACGATACATATCCTTGATCACATCATGCACACATCTCCATTGTCACCTTGTATTCCACTCCGCATGCACACTTAATCATATGTGAAATATCCTGTATAAAGAGGAACCCATGAACATGACACTTTGGTACCAAAAAACAAAAAACACCAAACACATGTTGACTGAGATTTTTAAGATGAACTGCATCATCAATCAAGTTAAGTTGAACTGCACATCTTTTCTTTCAATTATTAATTTGCTATTGATTTTCAGAAAATGAGAATTCTATGCATGGAATATTGTTGTGCATGGATTCTAATATTACCCATCATTTGTCCTTCCCAATGAAACCCCAGCTTTGGCCACTTCTTTCACAACCATTTCATCAAGTAGTATGAGAGCCTAGTTTCAGCGAAATGCAGCAAAAAACTGTTGACAACATTTACCTTAAGTTGCTTAATTTGCTTTTGCAGAGATTGTAAATACTCAATTTGTCCAACTTTATCTGACAAAAGAGCTTTGTATTCTTCTTCCAAGGTCTTAATGTCCATTTCCAAGAGCTCTGTCTACAGTCACAAAGATATTTGTAGAGTGGTCATAAATAAGAAGTACATATGAGACAGAGGTCATAAATTATATTACACGCATGAGAACATGTAAGCATAGAAGTAAAAGCCCCTCCTCATTTTGTTAGGTCATAAGGCTTGGAAGCTCAAATAATAACTAAATGGGATACCCATACTGGACAATCCAAATAACCACATTTTTCTGGATAGTTAGGGCAAGGATAAAGGTGATGCCCAGACAACAGCTATAAGAGGTGGAAATTATCAAAAACTTTAAAATTTGGCATTGAATTTGATGCCTCTAGACAAAATCATCTGAATCCAATCACGCACATAAACAAGTGTTTATCCACACACCTACTGTATGACTAAACAACTAACCTTAAAATCTTTGGCACTGCATTTCAGCTGCTCAATAGACTGCTTCATCTGGAATAAGGCAACCATGACCGATGAAAATTCGCTCCACTTTAAGGGAAGATACAAGCAGCATATGTATCATAGTTTCTAGGATCTATTAGCTCTCCTCTAGAAATTACTTCCAACATCTCCTACATTTTTCTCTGAGACGCTTGGAGAGATTAATGCCAAGCTAGATTAACTATTGTAAGTGTATGGCTTGGTCGACTGTCGCAAGTTATAATCTCTTTTCACACCAGACAGAATATATATATATATATATATATATATATATATATTCCTTTTTGCAAGGAATATCAGAAACATAAAATAAGGTTTATGATGATGATAGCTCATTTCTAAAAGAAAATCTCATTTTCTTCTGTTAGGGCATAAAGTTGAACATGGTTTCTAGGTACCTACCACAAAAAACAAGTTAAGTTTAATTTAAATGACCATAATTAGAATGGTAAAACTATGTAATCTCAGGCAACTCTAAAATCAGCCAAATGGGAAGAAGCTAGCTTTCCACTTAAAGATGTTAAAATATAGAATTCAAATGAAGAAAAAGATTAGCTTTAGGCTAAGCAATTAACAGTTAACAAATAATTTTGGCAAAGATTCAAATAATGAATTGAAAACTATAAATAAATGGAGATCTCACTTGAAGGAAATCAACGAAAAAATTCTAGAAATTAGAAAATTACCAGCTAAGTTAAAATCAGTATAAATAACATCCAGTAAGTATATGTATCATGTATAGCATAAATCTTTGTACAAGAAATTTTACTCAAACAAGCAACCTTGTTGTTCTCTGAAACAAGTTCGGATTTCATTTGTGCAATTTCAACAAGCTTGGTTTTGGCTGACTCCAGCTTGGCGATTAGGTTCTTTTCTGCATCATTCCCCTGCTATTCCAAGGATTCACTCAGAAATCACAACTCCTCATACATTTTAATTGATGAATGAAGGTTTTTTACCAGATTATCCACAATGAGGTGATTATCAATGGTGCACTTCCCTACAAGAAAAGTAGAATATGAGATGAAAATGGGGATACTCTACTTCTAGGGATATGATGTTACACCATTACATGCAAGGCTATGATATGAAGTTTTTAGGATACACAGACATCTCCTTTCACTTGTTCCTTTTCTTTCTTTGAGCCTTGCATATGATAGACAGACTTTTCCCCTTCATTGCGTTGTTTCTTCTATCATCTCATATTGTAATTTACACCAAAACAGGAAGGCAATGACTTCAAATCCTAAGGCCTTTCCAATATGATTTTAGGGTTTCTAAACCATGTGCAGGGACCACACCTGAGGGGAAGTTTTTAAAAGCAGTGCACAAGCAGACCATTCTCTCAGAGATCTAAAAGCTTAACTTCGGCCTTTGTTTTAATTTTCTGTTGTTAGATAAATCCCAATATATTGCATTTACCACTTGCAACCTACAAAATTATCATGTTCTTATTATGTTAAGGTTCACTTTTAGCTAACTTTGCAATGTAAAGAGATCAAAATATCGATAGGCTACAAGAGCTAAGAAATAAATAATTAAGAACACAACATTTAAAATTTTCAACTGAAACTTCTCTCTAGCAACATATAAAAAGAAAGAAGAACCAACCTTCAGTTTTAGCTGTTTGCTCGTCTAATTTTCCTTTCACCTGAAAACTTTCTAATTAGGTTTTTTGTGAAGATACATTTATCAGTAAATATTCAAAACTTTTGAAGATCACATGTGGAAATGACCATGAAGAAGATCATCTGAAGAAGCTAAGAAAAAACCAAAGCCAAGGTAGCTTGGCAAAATATAGCCCCTAAGCAGTCAGTTTAAGCATCAATCCCAACTGCAGTTGCATGCTTGGGAAATACAAGGTTCATTTTTGTTTATTACTTTTTGGTAAGAAAAAAAAATTATGATACTAGTTTGGGCCCACATACAAGGCACTTGCTTCTTCGATAATATTTAGCAAAACAGCCTGTAATCCAACTCAAATTATTTATAGTGCAATATAGATCTTACTATTTGAATTTTTAACGATATTATATGAATTCCAAAAGTAATATACACATAATTAAATCCTAGTCAAGTTAGAGTGCAATTATTTATATTTGTATTTAATCATCCAAAAGAAATACAACTCAAGAACTTTCCTTGCGGAGCTAATATTCTAACACTTTTCACCATATTTCTTCAAAAAAAAAAAAATTAACTTTTACAATATATATACACATATTTCTTCAAAAAAAAAAAAAAAGTTACCTTTCTATAAAAAAAATGTGTATATATATATATATATATATATATATACACACACACACACACACACACTTTTCTATAAAAAGATTTAAAAAAAAAATTCTACTATTTCCTCCACCAATTTGGCACTGATGATTGTGTTATTTGATATTTTCTGTCAATGAATCATTTTTTCCTTTTTTTAGTTGCTGGAAATATTATTCTTGTTAGTTGAATAGCTATACAGTCAAGCAAACACATGGACAAACTATAAGTAAACTTGTAATAACTGATATATTTATTGCTTTAATCTCATGTTTTTCAAGAAAAATTAATAAACCAAATAATAATAATAATAATAATAAACCAACCTATTCATGCCCTGTCTCGCTTAAACTTGCTTCTCATCATTGGAAAGTACAGTTATTATTACTAAATAGTTGGTAGAAAATAAAAATGAAAAAGCACACCACATTGAAAATAGACAATTAGATGGTGTTACTTCAAGAAACTTATCTTCAAAAGTAACAATAGAAGGATCTCTTATAATAAAAAATGATAACTATGATGGTGTTCACTTGGAGAAACGAAGGTACAAATTTAGCAAGACACTCTTAAGAAGGGTCTCTCATAACACCTTGCAACATTTTACTGAGGTTGTTCTAATTTTACTTCAATGCTAAAACCTACCAGAATTTCTCCACAAATTCATATGATCCAAATGGGGAATACCCCATTACTTTCTGCTTTCCCTCTCTTTTTATATTCACTACCTACTATTTTTACATTTTTAGCACAGCACATTCACAAAACAATAGTCAATCCAACTTTTACTCAGTGTTTGTCTTTTTCAGAAGTAACTCAAGCCCTTTGTTATCGTTCTCTGCTGGGCTAGTTTTCAATAAACTGACATGGAACTACTTTATTTTATGACACTATATAGAAGAGATAATAAAATGAGGATAAGATAAGACAGCCTCCAAACTAGCAAAAGATCTCTAATATGGAAAAGCTCCTGTATCTGTCTAAAAACCAGCTAAAGATACTCCCCTAAGAACCTCAAGCAAAATAAAATGAAGAGATAGTATGAACCACTCCATTCTAGATTGTTTATTGTTGTGAGAAACTTATTTACTGAGTGCTGATCTTGTTTGCTCCTATCATGCATCTTTCTTTAATTTTTCAGGTATGTTGATACCTGATGCTGCAGTTTGTCAGTTCATGTCTTTTTTTTTTTTTTTAGTAAATTAGTGTTGCTTATCAGATAAAAGAAAGGAAGACAGATTTAGCAAGAAGTACCAATCCATGCTCTCCCATTTCTCCACTAATTCTGTGTATGTTGACCCATTCCTGCACAAAGTGAAAATAGACCATAACTTGCAGGTTGAAAATGTGGAGAAATAACATATAGAAATTTTGCATGGTGAGGGGTATCAAAATTGCACCTGTTGTTCCTGTAGTTTGGAATTAATATCATCTGCAACCTTTGTATAGTAAGCCCTGTTGCAGTAAACGCATCAAAATTTTCAATCAGTATTGTTACATGAGCTTTAACAATCACAGAAATTTGTGCACTCAATAACCTTTTCTCTAGAAGTCTGGCAGATAAACTGTCTCTTTCACGTTGAATAAGCTCCAATGTCTGCATGTTAAGAAGAGAAAGTTGGACGAATCAATAATATGAAACATAGGCATTGACTGTTTTTAGAGAATCAAGAAGTGACTAGCTTAACTATTTCCTTGACAAAATAGCCATTTATTGCGTACATGATATCAGCTTAAGAAGTTCAGTATATATAGGGAGTCCTATAGATCAATATTGTGAGGCATATATTCTGCCTGCACCCCCATAATCCATCAAAAAACTCACGCTTCCGTAAAGAAAAGGTTTGTAATCATAACATTGAGCCTCTATAAACTAGTCAACCAAAGCTCATGGTAAGATTGAAGCTCAATATTCTCATGTAAATTTCCTGCAGTTTTGACAGCCCCAATTTTTGCCCCCATACTTTTTAAAAAATGTGCCATCTAGTAGACTGTATTATATCTGATATAAGTGACAGCAGTTCTTGTCACCCAACATGTTAGCAAGAAGAGAAGCAGAGAGAGAGTTCAAGAAAGAGGGGAGCAGATAGGAGAACTCCTCTTTGTCAACAAAAGGATGTCATTCCAGACCTTTTACTTATGGTTAAATTGTTGTATTGGACTTTGCATGCATAAATTATGTGTCCATATTAACAGGTGTATTAACTCCAAAATGGGATTATGGAAAAAGAAACACATGTATGTGTGTGTGTGTGTGTGTGTGCAGCGATCATTATATAAGCACCACATTAAAAAATAAAAATAAATAAATAAATAAAACAACAACAACTATGACGTCCAATAAAGGAACCACATAACACATCAACAAAAGAACCAAATAAAGTAAGCACAACTACAGAAAATTTTCAACCCCGTCATTTACTGTTATTCATACGATGATAAATGTAGCAATTTGTCATTTTCAACAAAAACATGATATAGTAAGGACAAGCAAGATGACCTCTGTCCGCCCTCTTCCTTGTAAAGTTTGAACTTTGCTTCATGAGAAACCACAAATGTCATTGCAAGATGCTAGTAACTTGTATATAGCAGGTTTTGATGTATATAAAACTCTCCTTAATCATACATTTACAAAGCTTATGTGAAAAGAAATCATAGTTTTGCAACATGAATTAAAATTTCAGGCTGCCATTTAAAAAAGCAAGATACGGTTTAGCATGTTTTGTGCTATTTTAAAAAAGCATGATAACATAGATCCTCAGATAAAGTTTAAGTAATCCAAACACTGTATTCTAAAGGGCTTCAGTACACATTCACAGCGATTCCATGGCAATATCCCAATCAAAGAAAGAGAAGAAGCAACTAAGCAAGAAATAACCAGACTTAAATAGCATGGCATTGATTTAAAGATTTTGAGTAACAAAGAAATGCTATCACCAATTCCCTTTTTTTCTTTTTCAGTACAAACAACTTATCATATCCTAAACAGATCAAAAATCGATTATGGTGCTCAAACAAGTGTTTATTATACATGTATTGGATCTTAAAGTTAAAAAATATTCTGACCCAATCATGAAATGCAAGTTCTTGGATGCAATTATGAAAAACACATTATTCCAAGATTCCCTGCTAGAGTGTAGTCTGGCTGGCTTTCTAATATTTCTTTTTGGTTTGGGTTATTAGTTAGTTCTTTATATTCACTTCAAGTGACTTCTCAAATTATTTCCATTTTACAGGGTTAGCAACCAGTAGCTTAATGAAGAAACAGAGACTTTTATTTTATTTATTTATTGAGGGTGCAGAAACACCGACATGGTAAAAGAGCTCAGCAAATTTCTAGGTTGCACATGCTAGCTCAACAAGTATTGTATGTTAAGGTTTTTCTCTTATGGCCTTTCTCCACTTTCATTTGTAGTTGACTTCATCACACAAATCTTGAACTAACGGACAGAACCATGATATGAGAACATAAATCATCTCAAGAACAAAAGCTTTTCTTCTTTCTTTTCTCATTTTTCTTATTTTTTTAAATCAAATTACTTCCTTGAAATAGATTGATGCTATTCTCAGAATACCTGAGCGAGAGTGGATGAATCAGAGTCCATAGAGGCAATCTTTCTCTGCTTTTCCAATATCTGTGAGCTTATCTCCCCCTTAGCCTTCACCATCCGCTCAGTATCTTCTTTGAGTCGCTTTGTTTCAGATTTTGCTGTAAATTGTTTAACAAAAATACAGTTGAGAGAACATTAACGATGAGATATCATTAAACAACTTAAATAAAAAACTTGTTTTGATCTTTGAGCACGATGGTTCTTGAAAGTTGAAACTCAATACTCAAAAGTAATTCAAAATGCCGAAGCTGGTTATATTTTAGCATTATCTGCAAATTACAAATCTAAATATAAACAATTCCCCATCCAAGTGACTTGGACTAATAACCTACAACAAGACGTCCCATCCAGCATTCCCACTTTCACTTGAGGCGCAACCTCGCTCTTTGCACATTACAGGTAACACAAATTTCAATATTTCCAAGCCATTGATGTTTACAAATTCAAATTAGCAAATAAAAAATGAAGCATCTCATGTTAAGCCTTTAGCTGTGGCATTTTTGGCTCTTTGCTTTCTAAAAATGTAATAGTAAATAAATAAAAATAGTTTTCCCCAGTTATTCCATAGCAAATAAATTAAATTTAGAGAAAAAGAGAATTTTACAAAAAAAATAAAATTAATTGCACAAAAGATAAAATAATAAATACCGATAGCAATATTTAGGGTTATTCCAAATCGAGTACTAAAAAATAAAAATAAAAAAAAACGAAAGAAAGAAACACATAATTAACATTGGAACTAACAAGTTAAAATACACAATACACGTCAAATTTTAATATCTACAACTATGAATGATATAGTTATTTTTTTTTTTTTTGAAAAAAAAAAAGAATAAGAAAAATAAACCAGAAGCGAGGTCTTTCTCCAATGCTTGAATGGTAGTGATGTGAGTCTGCTCTTCAACTGAGATCTTCGCTGCTTGATCTTCCACGTCTGTAAATCCATTACGTGTCAATTTACATTACTGCCACTACCATTACTACTACAGCAAAATTTCACTCACTAAAACAGTGTTCAAATGCTTCGAAATGGAGCTTTTGTTGTTGAATTTTCAGAGAGAGAGAGATTGATTACCGTTCATTTGAGAGCGAAGAGTCTTCATTTGCTGCAAATACTCCTCCATCTTCGATACCTGATTTTTCGAATCGAATCCCTAGTAATTGCTAAAATGTACGGACACAAAGAGACTGAAAAAGAAATGTGACTGAGATTATGAGGGAAAAAAAAGTGAAAGAAACTGAATCCAAATCCACAATAGAGAGAGGAATGAGTGAAAAGTTTTGGAGGGAAAGGAAGGGGAGGGTGAATCGTTTGCCCTTGCTAGCCAACCGCGAGCGCGCTCTGAGATAGATTTTGGATTTTTTAATAAAAATATTAATCTTTCTGAAAAATCTATTAAAGTCTAATTAATTCAGTGATTAAAGAGCGAAAAGTTATATCAAATTAGTACTATCTACTTAATATATATAAAGTCGAAGTATTCGGATCCACCCACTGATAGACTAAACGTGATATCCCAATTAATTTTTTTAAAAAAAAAAAAGTAATATCTCAATTTTACCATGTATTTTTACCATTTTGAGAATCTAAAAGTTATCATATGAACTTACGAACTTTAACTTAATTGAGAAATTTTTCTAATTCAATATTTTGCATGACCTTTCACTTTATAATATAATTTTTTGAGTTTTAATGCAATTAATTTTACGTACCTGATAATTAAGGAATGTTATTTTGCTTCTATTATTGGTTTATAATACGTTTGGCTTGTATATAACTTATTGATTTAAACTTAGTTTGTTACCCTTTATTTATTACATTGCAATGAAATGAAAGCCTTTTAAAAGGCTTCTCGATTATTAATTCAGAATTTTTTTTTTTTTTTTTTTTTTTTTTTGCATTTTAATCATAAATTTTTACCTCCATTTTAAAGGAAGAAACATACTTGATTCTTATGCTACCAATATATATATATATATATATATATATATATATATATATATAAAGTTAATATACTATCTCGTTTTATTCAAAGTTTCTCATATATTTTTAAGTTTTTATTTACATCTTATTTTTTAAAAAACATTTGAAATGTTTAATCTATCCTTTCGATCATTTTTTTCGATCAATTGAAATTTTTTTACCTAAATGCTTTTAATTGAAATGTAAAAAATAAAAATAAAAATTAAAGACCTCAAAAATAAAACATGCAGGTTATGTGACTTTGAGTAAATTATAAATTTGTCTCTCTAGTTTCAACAAACAAATTAATTAGTCCCTCTCAATTCAAAAACTACTATCTAATCTTTTAATCGAGTTTTGAACATATTTAATTTAATATTATTTTTATCCACACAAGCTCTTATTTTCTCATCAATCTTTTCATATTTTTTTCCTTTTTCTATTTATTCTAACATAAAATCAAAAGAAATTAAAAATGAGCAAAAAAGACCAAATTACAAGAAGATTTCAAAACATGAGAACTAAATAATGAGTTTTTTAAATAAAAATGACTAACTAATTTGTTTCTTGAAACGAAAGGGACTAATTTATAATTTACTCATGTGACTTTGAGTGTTTTTTTTTTTTTTTTGGCATTTTAGCGAGAGAATTTTTGGTCAAAAAAATTAATCAAAAGGATAGATTGAATATTTCAAAAAAATTTAGAAACATATGAGATGCAATTAGAAATCTAAGAACGGATAGATATAGGCTTAATGGCAAATTCTACCCTCATTCTATTGTCATTTTATAGTTTCGAATCCATAGTATCAAACCGTGTAACTTGAACCTTAAAGTAATCAAGATTGGGCAAATGTGATTGAAATTGTTCTATCTCCATTATGTATAACGATCAATTAATAGTTATTTGAAATGTCAAAGCGATGTCGTTTTGGCATTCCGCATCCTAAATTGCCCTATCTCTCGTTATGTATAACGGTCGGTTGATATTTTTAACCTTCTAATCTTGAATTTTTTTTTTTAACTTTTTTTCTTATAAAATATTATAATAAATTATATAAAAATGTATTTTATAAATATTTTTTCACCTCCTAATTTTGAAAAAAAATTTATAAAATATTATAAATATTTTACAAAAATTATTTTATAATTTATAAAATTAATGGGGGTCAACCTTAATTATGTTCATTTTAATTTATAAAATATTTTTTAAGGTCCGAAATTGTATATTGTTAATTATGTTTTTTACAATAACATTTTATAAAAAATATATATTTTTAAAAAAATTTCAAAACCCAAGGGTTAAAAATATTTATAAAATGTTTTTATATAATTTATAATATTTTATATATAAAAAAAGGGTTCAAGACTAGGGTTAAAAGTATTTTTAAATATAATTAACGACAAAATGTCAAAATGATGTCTTTTTTAATATTTCAAATAATGATCAATTTAGTTAATTGTTACTCATAATTTTTTTTAAATATAAATAATAGCAAAATGTCAAAATGATGTCTTTTTTATATTTCAAGTAACGATCAATTTAGTTAACTATTACTCATAACGAGAGATTAAACAATTTGAATCATATTTACCCAATCTTCAATATTTTAGAATTTAAATTACGCAATTTGATACTTTACATTCGAAATTGCCGGATTGCAATAATATTGGGGCTAAATTTGTCATTAAATCGATAGATATATTTATTCAAAAAGAAAAATATATGCATCTCTCTTGCTCTCGTTAAAACCATCAATTACACCGCTTCAGTTGATGCTATAACATTCCTTGCTGAATTTTTAAGATTAATTTTGGATGTTAATTTTTATGTATTTTTTCTTCTTATAAATGTCATTTATCTCATCTCAAAGTGCTCGATAAAAAAAAAAAAAAAAAATTAAGCCAAGTTCAAAACCAAGAAAAAATTTGTCATGATTTCATAAAGAATATGCAACATGCTTTATCCCTTTTGTGGGTTTTTTCTCTTTTAGAATTGTGAGAAATTACATATTGGGAGACTTGAGAATTTTTTTTTCATTGCTTCATTGTGGAAATATTTTATCCATGGGTCTTTTTCTTTTTTATAAAATTTTACTTTTCATTTTAATTGTAATGGGGTTACCTCTCGTTTGTTAAGTCATGGTTACCTAAGAAAAAAAAAAAAGAAAGGTGTGATAGACCACCAAACTAAAATAGCCATGGGTAGATAAGAAAGGCAAGGCATCAAAGAACACTATGTAGAAACTTAGAGAAGTTGGTAACGAATTTACATACTCATCAATATGTCAAATCTAAATCTTACAAAATTGCTCACCATACTCGGGAGATAGCTCGGGTAAGTCCATTTTAATGATATCTCTTATGTTTAAATGTTTTTACTTAAAAAACTCATGTAAGACAAAAAAAAAATGTGATTAAGTTGGTCTTGGATTTAGTAGAGGTGGTTTGGATTTTTTTTTAAAAAAATTTACAAATTGATAATGGTCTTTATTTGGACAACTAATAAATTAAAATTGATATTTATAATTTTACTATATCATTTATTGATTAAAAATTGTGTAAATTTTTGTGATTTGCAAATTAGAGGTATGTAATTGGAGGTTTTTTTTATTGTTGCCACCAACAACATTATTTATTTATTTATTAAACTTCTTTTTACTTGGTATGATTTCATAAACTTTTTACTCAAGAGTTATTTAAATGAAAAAAACTAAATTTCTATTCACATGTACTATATAATTCGACTATTATATTAATTTGAAACTCGTTGTTTTTATCAATAAAAAATTTTCATTGACCAATAAAATATATAGTAAATACAACCCTTAAAAAAATATTTGTCATATTCAAATGACTTTAGAGTAAAAACAAAAGCGAAATTGGACTTCAAAAAAATAATATACATTAACCATTAATTCATCCGTGATTGTCATTTCCTCCATAAGTACCACTCCTACCACCTCGAAAACCAACATTATTTTGGCCACCTCTGCCACTTCAACCTCCCACATTCCAACTACCTCGACTCACAAGGGTACTAGTAATACCGGGAGAAGGTTGAGATGCCTTTGTACATAAGATTTTAGTCAAGATGTCATGAAGAAAGACAACTTCGAACTCGAAAGGATTTATGAGTGAACATAATCAAATTCGGGTGGTAGGCCCACAAGAAAACTAATGATAGCCATCTGCTCACGTTGAGATTATTAGGCCTTCACATCACTACCAAAAGGAAGGAGAGAATTCAATTCCTCGTAAACTCGTTTAAAAATCATGAAATATTCAGTAAAGGTTCTATCCTATTTTTCAAGACAATAGAACTCTTTACATACATCATAAATATGGAAAAGATTACCCTTACTAGAATATAAAAATGCCAAATAATCCATAAGATCTTTAACAAACTCACGGTGACTAACTAGACCAATTACCTCACTCGCTAATAGAGTTTTGAATCTACATATATATTCTAGCATCTGCTCTTAACCAAGCCTTTTTTTGACATCATCGAGTTGGGGATCATCAATAAGATGATCGTCTTGATTAATACTCTAGAGATATACACACACCATTTTACTCCAATCTAAAAAATTTCATCCATTGAGTTTATGTTCTATAATCTTTATTGTTGTAGTAACAACATCAAAGATCACATTTTTCTTCTCTGTTTCATCACCCATTAAATAAAAAGAAAGAAAGAAAATAAGACAAGCAAGGTCGCGATGACTCACTAGGGTAGTAGCGAAAAAGAAAAAAATATGGTAGCTCACAAAAACAACGACGCCAATCGCTCAATTAGGGAAGCGACTCTATCACCCAACCGGGATGGGATAAGGCTTTATGTAATGTTTTAGGTATAAAAGCATAATCTAACGAAGCAATAAAATAGTGCAAAGAAGGAGAAAAATGGTCATAAGAAATAAATGAAGAGATAGGATGAGAATAATACCATTTACCTTTACGAAGAGCAATAGGAAGATCAAGACTAAAATCTATAAAGGGAAAAGCTGGCGAGAGGAAGTGAGTCCCGATTTGGTTGTAGATCTCGTGGGCAAGTACGATGAGAGTAAACTTGGGTGATAGGTGGCTTAATGGGTATAAGAGATTCGGTAGTTGTTGTCATAGTATATATTAGAA